GGGTCCTGTGGCGGCAGCAGCGAGTAGGTGACCTGGGCGTTGGCGCCCGCGTCTGCGTCTGTGGCGCTGACGCTGCCGATGTGCAGGGCGGGGCTGTTGTTCTCGCGGACGAACAGGGTGTAGGAGGTTTGGGTGAAGGCCGGGGCGTTGTCGTTGACGTCGGAGACTATCACGGTTATGTTGTGCTGGGTTTTCAGCCTGGGAGTCCCCAAGTCAGTGACCGTGATGGTGATGTTGTATTCGGATCTTGTCTCTCGGTCCAGGGCTGTGTTTGTCACGAGAGTGTAAAAATTTTCAACAGAGGGTTTAAGGAAGAAAGGAAGATCATCTTGGATAGAGCAAACCATCCTTCCATTGTCTCCTGAGTCAGGATCTGAAACACTGAATACAGCAATTATGGTCTCCTGCATGTTTTCTGGGATTTCATTGATAAGTGTTGACATGGTCAGTTCCGGAGGGTTGTCATTCAAATCCATCACTTGGACAAACACCACACAATTTCCAGAAAGACCCCCACCATCTGTCGCCTGAATATTTAATGTATAAGTCTGAATGGATTCGAAATCCAGTCTCTGTCTTAAAAGGAGTTCTCCGGATTTTGCATTTATTTGAAAAGTTTTGCGAATTTCTTCAGAAGCTTGGGAAAATACATAAGATATTTCTCCATAGGCTCCAATGTCTAAATCTCTAGCAGAGACAATGGCAACCTGCGATCCAATGGGGCTGTTTTCCGGGACCTGCACCTCATAGAGCAGCTCTGCAAATTCCGGAGCGTTATCATTGATGTCCAAGACTTCAATGCGGACCAGAGCGGTGCCAGACCTGGGTGGAGTCCCACCATCCAGCGCCGTGAGGGTTAACCTGATCTCAGCCTGTTCCTCGCGATCCAGCGCTTTGTCCAGCACCAGCTGTGGTAATATTATGCCGTCGGAACTGTCTTGTAATTTAAGATGGAAATGGGAATTGGGGCTGACTGTGTAACTTTGGAGACTGTTGTTTCCTACATCTAAGTCCTGGGCACGTTCTATTAGGAAAGCAGTTCCGGGGGTGATACTTTCAGAAATTTTCAAAATTATTTCTTTGTCTAGGAAAACCGGGGAATGATCATTTATGTCCCTAATCCGTAGCTCGGCCTGAAAAAACTCCAGGGGATTTTCCAATAACACCTGGAAAGGTAGCACACAGGGCTCGGTAGGACCACACAGCTCCTCCCGGTCCAGTTTCTCATTTAACAACAAATCCCCGGTCTGCCTATCGAAGTGCAAACGCACTTTTTTCCCTTTGGAAACGACCCGGGGCCCCCGCGCAGTTAGCTCATCTACCTCCAGCCCCAGGTCTTTCAACAAATTGGCCACAAAGGAGCCACTCTCCATTTCCTCGGCCACTGAATAGTGCCTAGGCTCGGAACCAGCCCGAGCTATGCCCAGCAAAACAAAGAATATTAAGACTTGCCTTTGTTTCTGAAAGCGTTCCTTTCCTTCTCCGGCCTCCATCGCCTTCTGGTCTCCCAGCAAACCTGACCCAGTTCCGGCTCCCATTGTCGCTGACTCGATTTCCCAGTATCTCCCAAATACTGGGATAAATGGAGACGCCTAGGGCCCTGATTTCCCGGAGCCACCGGCTTAGAAAGCCTCCCTGTCCTGCTTGCTTCTTTATCAGAGCATCCGGCTAAAGAAGCACGGATAAAGCAGCACTGACTAGTTGCTTCCTTCCTTCTACTTCTAATGCTGCAGCGCCACCCCGCGTCCTTTCCGAGTGTTTACTTTCTCCAAAACATTGAGAAAACCCAATCCTTTTAGAGTGATGGAAATCTAAATGGAGCATTTTCAAGTAGTACCTCTCAAGTCTTAACAGCGTTTCGAAGGGCTTTCTTATTGCATCCACACGACATGGCAAACACAGACACATTTCCTCACAGACCCAAGCAGCTCTTTTGAAACTGGAAAAAAAATCAACTTCGGAAACTGGAAGGAAGTAACTTCAGTCCTAGCATTGAAAGAAGGCTTTGACTAGGCAGTTCCCAGCTTTTATTCAGAGCTCAGGCAATTGCGCATCTCGGTGGTGGTTAGGTTACCATCCTCACACTCAAGCTAACGGAAAAGTATAGAGACCCAGGAAGAGCACAGAATTCACGAGAACATTGTCATGGCCACTGAAATATTCTCTGTATTCATATTTCTCACTCGCACTTCTCCCACTTCACATTTCCCTGGAATCTGATGCATTTGAGCCACATGAAAATCTCCAAACATATTTGGATAATTCTTGTGAATATGTCAATATTTTTATTTTCCTTTCTAACAGATAAAGGCGTCTTTTACATAACTTCAATTGTCGCATCTAGTTGGCCAATGTTAATAATTTCATAATATGAAATACACAGTAAATATTGAAAATTTTCAATTATTTTTTAAAATATGTATTTTTAGAGATTATTTGTTAAATCAGTGCCAAAGTATATATGTTGCAGTTTGTTGTTGGGTTTTTAAAGTTTCTGTCATTTTGTGTTTTTAAAAAATATTTGATAAAAAGAAATGAGTTATTAAGCAAAAAAGTCATGGAGGAACCTTAAATGCATATTACTTAGTGAAATAAGCCTGACATTCTGGAAAAGGCAAAAGTACAGACACAATAAAAATATTAGTGGTTGCTAGGGGGAAGGGGGAAGAGAATCAAAAGGTAAAACAGGGGATTTGGGGGACACTAAAACTTTTCTTTATGATACTGTAATGACAGATACATGACTATGCATTTGTCAAAACCCATATAATGTATAACCCAAAGAGTAAACCCTAATGTAAACTAGTCTTTAGTTAATAATAATTAATCAATATTGAGCCATCAATTATAATAAATGTACCACATTAATGCAAGATGTTAATACTAGGGTATACTGTTAATAGGAGAAAGCAAGTATATGGGAACTCTCTGTATTATTTGCTCAATTTTCTGTAAAACCTAAAATTGCTCCAAAAAAAGTCTATTAATTAAATATATGTATTAAGAAATGTTTCAATATACTGTATGGAAAATTTAAAAAGAACTATATAAACATAACTCCTCCCTAGTTGAGAATTTAAAAATTATTTATAATTTGTCCTATTTATCTGTATATTTTATTCTACACACACATATCCCTTTTTTTTGTTGACCCACTTGAAAGTAACTTGAAGACATCATAATACTTCACATCCAAATATTTCAGCAGGCATTTCCCAAGTATAACAACTTTATTGCACATAATCATAATGCTGCTATCACACTTAACAAAATTAACACTAATTCCACAACATTATCTAAAATCCAGTCCCTATGAAATCTCCTTAATTATCTTTCCATTATCCTTCCCTAATTTTCTTCAACTTTGAGAACTCACTCACTCTTGAGTTCCTTTTACAAATGCACTTTCTTAACTACCTGTTATAAGAAATGTCTTAGGAAATTTGTTTTTTAACTAAGTTTCATGATTTTATTGGGAGTTACATCTATTTATTCTAGATAAGGCCCCCATCTTTTATATTGAATTTTTTGAAGTGTCCAGACCAGTTGTTGTGTAGGATGTCCTACATTCTGAATTTGTCTGATTGTTTCCTTGTGGTGTCTTTTAACCTGTTCCTCTATCTCCTGTATTTCCAGAAAACTGGAATGGATGATTTACTAAGTGTAACAATGATATAACACTTTTTAAAGCTCTCATTTATTTTCTGTAATTGGGTTAAAAAGTTAGGCAGTCACAGGTTCACTTTCTTAACATTAAGAAAATAAATGCCTACTTGTATTCTGTTGGTATTATTTTTGTTTTTCATGATTATTATTTATATTAATATTATAACACGTCAAAATATTTTAATTCATTGACATTGAGCATTTAACACAATTCATCCAGGTGAATAAAACCAAAGACCCAAGTCTTTAAAAACTGCTCTTTATACAGGCTACAAAACTTAATTCAAGTTAGAAATAGATGTAGTGAGGATCACTTACATCATAAAAGTAAATAATGACTGGTAGATCACTTGAAATTTTACATTTAACCAATATTATTTATATGTAAATATGATTATTTTCTTATGATAGATTCTCTGAATTAAAGCAGTTATGTGAATTTGGGGATTACATAAAGGAGAGGAAAGTATAAAATATGAAGAAAATTACAAAATCTAGCACCTATCACAAGTGTAAGAATTAAAAACTTAATATTTAAGACACTTCAGAGGGAAAAATACTCAAGAGCACATCATTAGGTTTTGTTGTGCAAAACAATTTTTAAACCTCTCATGCTGAGTCATAAGTGTTCTCACAAGTCCTAAGGTTTCACCCTTCTTTAAGATTCAATGCTTTTCATACATTTAGAAATGAATATAAGTTTCTCTTTTTTCAGAGATGACAGAACCAGTACCAATATTTTATATTTACAGATGGTTACCAGATTTCAACGCATTCTATCCACTATGTTATTTTAAATCATTTAAGTTCTTAAACTTTGGTGAGAGTTCACATTCCTTCTTGAGTGCAATTTACATGCTCTTATTTCCTTAATCTTCTTTAATAAGTAATCAAAATATTAGAATTAGAACATACCATATTAAAATATAAATAAAATATTTATATTATGTATTTATAAATAATTGTCGAGATATCATCCACACTACTAGCCTTTTTTCAAAAAAGAGAAATCATCAGTCCTCCACAGGCCTTCAGCCCACAAACTAGCTTTACTCACTGAGCGATCAGATGGCAAAAGAAAGAAGGGTTTTTCAGTGACCTACCACTAAAACCCTGCAGGAAATAATGAAAAATATTCTAACACAGGAAAAGAGTGTTCTGGTACCCTTTAATCTTAGGGTGGAAATTGTGGACCTGTGGTAACACTCAATTTGCTTTTGCCACATTAAGAATACCAATAAGTTTTCCATAGTCTATCAAGCAAGCAGGATTTCAAAAGAAAGGTGATTCAAACAGGGGAAATGAAGGTGTTGTTTATTCTCTTCCCCCAGTACAAATAAGCAACTAATGGTTTTGAAAGAGACATCTCCATAAGAATCTTCGCATTTTTTTTGTTTAAGGAGTATCATCATAGTCTATTAGTACAAACTGTTTCCTTGAAAAAAAATCTTGAACAGACATTGCCATGGGTTCTAGCCTGATCTGAGTATACATAAATTGTTTTGCTGGTCCATATTACATGGCATTTCCTTTTAATATATTGGAGAATTAATTGTTAAAGAAAGAACTTTGATGTTTAATAAGTAAGAAAACTTAGTAAAAATTAGCAAATACAAATTTAGCATTGCAATAAATGAGCTACTTAGCAACTCAGTGGATTACACCTTAAATAATGAAAGAGACATTTATTTCTACCAATGATTTTTCCCCCTGCCCCATACAGATGACCCTTGAACAAAGTAGTTTAAACTGAGTGGGTCTACTTACATGAGGATTTTTTTTTCAGTAAATACCTGTACTGTTTTCGATCCATGGTTGGGAGTCCGCAGATATGGATGGCCAACTGTATGCATTGATCTATACTATTTTATACAGGGGACTTGAGCATCTGCAGATTTTGGTATCTTCAGGGGTCCTGGAACCAATCCCCCACAGACAACAAGGGACAACAAGCTTAAGTTTTGGGGGAGTCAAAAGTTACAAAGGGATTTTTCACTCCACGGGGTCAGTGCCTCTAACCCCTGCATTGTTCAAGGATCAACTGCAGTTTTACATCTGTATTTGATTTTGTGTCATCAATGTCATCAAAAATCATCACATGACTTCTTTTCAAATAAAAAACAACTACATAATATTAATCAAATAAATATTTACTTGAATTTAATTGATTGAGTCCAAACCTGCAGAAAACTAGACTATCACAATTTATCAGTCATCATCTATGAAATTCAAGAAAAGCAAAAGATGACTTCAAAATACATAGTCTGACCTTCCCTGGGAAGTTAAAAAGACTATCATTTTATGTATAGATCTAGGATGAGGTGGGGGTTTTTTGTTTTTTGGGTTTTTGTCACGCTTCGGGATATCTGCTAGGATAGTCTACACAAAGTTTTAGAGGTAACTTACCTTCGGAAGATCAAAGAAAATTAGGTATGAGCAGAAAAAAATGCATTTCTTTTCTGTAATTAACAATTAAGAGGCTACTGCCTTTCTAAACAATGAATTTTGTGAAGTAAACAAAAAGAAAATAGCAAAGGCGTCGGTACTTATTGACTATAAATTGATAATTACTTATGTTTCAGAAGAAAAGAAAACACTACTGAAGTTAGAGCCACAAAACAACAACTACTATACTGTTATTCAGAAAGGAGATGTTTTCTTTTACTACCCCGAGCCTAAAAGCAAGAATGCGAAGGATGACAGTTGTCTTTACCTATTGTCTTGTTTTTAGCTTCTAGAAACCTATCTAATTTCACTGGAGATAAAGCGACGTTGCATGTATCTCTCTTCTCTCTGTCCTGTATTAGGCTGGCAGAATGTTTAACATTGAATGAAAAGAAAATTCCGGAAGGAAGGGTCACAGCATTAACTTTTTATTCCAGAGTGCTGAGATTATAATCCTTAAAGAGGTGAAGACTCTAGGATGAGCAAATACATGTCAATATGACCAGTTCCATGGAATGTGTCACCCAACATCCTTCACATAAAGAAAGCTATTTCTGAAACTATTTCCGCTGTGAATTGCCTGAGTATTTGCCAGGTAGCCATGAAATGCTTGATCATTTTCTTGCAGTGGATGTTTATAATGCACAGGTATCAGTGGTATTTAAATGTTTGGTGAGTATTCTCCAGAGGTTGGAGAGTTCAGTGAGCCCAGCCATTTCTTAATTATTAACTGAGACTATGTCTTCAGCTGAAACTTCAACAACAAGGTTGCTGAGGGGCATGCTTCTCAAGGGTTGTCACTGATTGTTGCGATTTGGACCTTGGGAGGCCCCGGAGGAGTGTTGACACCTACCATTCCTTTCTGTGACAAACTTACCTTGGGTTGTTCTTCATCCAGCGATTTCCCCCCACGAATGGGCAAATTACTTACCCCACCATTACAGCGCACATTATTGTGAACATGGAAATTAAACTGTGTAGTTTCCAAGGATGGAAAATTCACCAAAATCTCATGCATGTTCCCGGTGGACGTTCTGCAACATTCAGAAGAATTTTTCAAAGGTGGAACATTTCAGACTCACAGATTTTTCTCAGAGAACCAAAAAGAAGTTTACAGGTAATACTTCTCAAAAGCAGAGCTTTTATCGGTCTGGTGTCCTATTTGGAAGCAAAGGCTCTTCTGTGGCTGGATCTAAAATATTCTTTGATCTCTTTGGAAACCACCCTGCTTCCTTCGCCCGTCCTCACGCTGCTGCGCAGACGCTTCCCTTTCAGCCGCCAGCGCCAAACCTGCAGAAGCTCTGGCCATCAACAGCCGCTTTCCTCTTCCTGGGCCGCCTGCGCTACGCCCAGGAAGAA